GTATGATCCTCAAACCAACAAGGAGCTAGCACAGCACCATGAACATGTCCCCCTCTGCAGATCAGGACAGAGGCTAGGAGGAGCTAAGTAAACATGTCCCAAGTGCCTCCACTTGTAGGGAGCGAAGTCAGGATCTGAACGTGGAGCATGTCAACATGACCTACGTTAATCACAGCCCGGGCACCATCTTGCCCTCGTCTTCCTGGCCTCCCAGGGCATGGATTTTCAGGGATACAACTGTCATCACACTTACTGTTCTCTCCTTTTCTACCTCGGGCACCAGGTTTTCGGACCCAACTCGTATGGGGCACAAGGCACTTAGTAACTCAGGCAGGAAAAGCCTGATAGAGCACAGTGAGGAAGCAAGTGCCTGCAAGCCAAGCACAGGGGCCTCGAGAGAAACCAAAGCTGCCAACACCTCAATCTTGGATTTCTATCCTCCACAAGCATGAGAAATAAACTTCTGTGGTTTGACACCCAGTGGGTAGCACTTTGTTATGGGCGCCCAAGCTGACATAAGTGGGTACCACCAGGCCACTTTCCTGTCAGGACCTCATTAGCTTGCCCTTCAACCTGGGCATTAGGTCTCCAGGTCACAGGCCCACCCCCCTGCCATCGGCTGTAGTGAGCATATGACTTTGCACCTCTTGCCCCAGCTCTAGAACTACTGGAGCTTTTACTCCTTATTAGACCATGAGGCCCCGATGTGTGGCTTTTTGGTGCCTATGTCCTGAGCTGGCCAGGGGCCCCCAGAATAGAGCCTGCACCCATACTGGGTGGCCAGCCCAGAAGATGAGCGCCCACGGCAGGCAGCCCCTCCCCCAGCTGCCCAGCTCTGCGTCTGGGGGTGTGGCAGCTTCTTCCATACCTCCCTCCAGCGCTTCCTGGAACAGAGGGGATCCTAGAAAGGAGGGTGCACTAAGTCCCTTCTTTAGGAGCTGATTGAGGCAGTCCTGGGGGGCAAATTGGCAGCATCCTTCTATCTGCCTCAGTTTCTAAAGGGCTTTTTAAAGGCATTTTTAAAGATCTTTCGTTTATTCCCGCCCCCCCCTTCTTTTTTGACCTAACACGGCCTGTACTGGTAATAACAATAACAGTAGAAATAGTGGCAATTCAACAGATCAGAGTCTCCAGCACCTCCCTGTGGCTTGGTTCATGGTTGAGTTCCTGGTATCCAGCCAGAAAGGGCCCCTCTGTTACGCTTTCAAATTGGAGAAAAGAGACCACTCTTAGCATTAAGATTGTCCCGACATTAGTCTATCAATGGCAGAGTGAAAGGTCTGAACCTCAGACAGATGCCAGGCCCTGTGAGGACACGGGAAGCCAAACAAAATGGAAGGAGCAATCGCTGTCCTGGATAGCTCAGGAAAAGAGGATGCTGGCTTCTGGGCACGGCTTGGAGGTTAATTCTCCCACCACCTTACTTTCCTGAGCACCTCCTGCGTGCCAGGCACTGTCCCTAAGCCCCTTTCCTACCTTTTTCCCTTAATCAGCACAAAAGCCCTCTTAATGCAGGTACTATTATCTCCAGTTTCTTTTAATATTAAAAAACAAACAAACCCAAGTTTAGTGAGGTTAAGAAGCTTGCTCTAGGTCTTACTGCTCAAGCAGGGACACCAGGATGGATACAAACCCATGTCTGACTCCATGTCTTATTCACAGTGCTTCAGACTCGGAGGTACAATCAGGGACAGAAGCAGGGTAGAGGTCAGAGCAATGGCTTTCTATCACTCCAGGGCAGAGCAGGTGTGAACGGCTGCAGAAATGCAGGCCCAGGGGCCCTCAACTGTAGCTTAGCAACCACAGCTGCCCTTGTACATTAGTCTTCCCCACACCTGCCACCAGCAGAGAGTCCCAGCAGTGGCAGGCAGCTCAAGGGAGCTGTGGTCATTCTCTTGCCCCAATGAAAGTCTGCGTTGCATGTAGGGGTGACAATTATCCCACCTGCCCTGGTGCTGTGCAGAGAAGGTTAATCCACCAATTTAAAATGACAAAACCACTGCTTTTTAGAGCCAAAAGAGCCCTTGGAAATGATTTGCTCTAACTTTTTGACTTCATGAGAGGTCGAGAGGGGCAGCGTGAGTTCTCATAGGCAGCCACGATCAAAACAGCGGATGTTCTCAGTCCAGAGCTCCTCTCCTCACACCCATGGCTCTCGGTGGGGGGCCTCCTCCCCAAAGCAGAGACGAGGCCCCGAGAAGAAGTAGGGCTCTGAGACTCTTCCTGGCCCCTAAACAGGATCACTTCTTCTCCTCATCAAGCTCTTGAGGCCTCACCCTGATGTGGGGCCCTGTGCTGCCTCCTCCTCACACTTCATCCCTCAGGTTCACCCAGGGGATGTCCCTCCAGCCCCATCCAATGCCACACATGGAGCGGAAGCACAGGGGTCCCACCACCTCTTCACATGGTTGGAGAAGACCCCCTGCTGCCACCCTGGAGGCCACCCTGGGTCACAGCGGGCCTTCCAGGACCTCAAGAACCACAGGCAGCAGAGCAGAGCAGGCACTGGTCCTGGAGCTGAGATGCCAGAAGTGAGCTCCCGTCCTGTCATTTAGCAGCTCCACGACCCCAGACCAAGTCTTCCTTTTTTTTTTTTTTTTTTTTAGCAGACAAAAAGCTGTGTACAATTAACATATATAACTTGATGTTTAGAGGTAGGTAGGCACTTGTGAAACCATCACTATAATATATGCCACAAACCCATACATCATCTCCAAAAGTTTCCTGCCACCCTCTTGTGATAAAGCACTTAACATAAGATCTACCTTCTTTGCAAATTTTAAAGTATATTGTTAATTATAGGCATTAAGCTGTACAGGTGAGCTCTGGACTTGGTCATCTTGTATACCTGAAATTCGATGCTCTTTGACTAATGCCTCCCTGTCCCCCCTCATCCCAGCCCCTGGCAACCATTGTTCCACTCTCTGCTTCTATGAGTCTATTTTAGACTCAACCTATAAGTGGTATGATGTAGTCTTTGTCCTTCTGCGTCTGCCTGGGCCAATTCTTAAGCCTCCACGTCCTGGTCTGAAAAACAGGCACAATAATACCTACTTCACAAAGTGGCTTTGTGAATTCAAAGAGACAACAGAGGCAAAGCACAATGCCTGACAATTATTTTTATAGCATTATTATTATCATCGCAATAATGCCATACATCCCATTCAGTGGCTCTGACATACGCCAGAAATGCTAAGTGCTTTAGATGAACGATCTCATTTATTCCCTCCTATAAATCTAAAACAGGTGCTATTTCATCCCACATTTGAGGAAGTACTCAGAGTTGTTAAAGTGAACTGCCCAACGTCACACAGCTCTTAAGCGGTGGGGCTGGGGTTCGAACCCAAGTCTAACTCCAAAGCCTATGATGGCATCTGCTGCTTACACCTTTTATGGTCATTATTTTATCCAATTTGAAAAACCTGTCAGGTGTTAGGCAGGTCCTGGAGGAGAGTATCTGCTGACAACCAAACTGGGAGTGACACGGACCTTGGGGAATGAAGCATCTGGTAATTTAATTTTCCAGTTAGCTCAGTAATTCACTAGAAGCCTCCGTTTATTGCAAAATATTTTCTAAAGCCAGGCTCAGGGCGAGAACTTGCCAACCAGAAGGAAAGTTCAAAAACTGGTGTAGCTACTCTGACACTCTGACACATGAAGGCCACCAGGACGCCAACATGGCCACGGTGTGGCATGGGGGAACTCAGGCACCAGCACCCCATCCTCCCCTGTGCAGAGGATCTCCACTCTCTGCCTCTCCCTGCCCTCCTGGGGCCCAAGGCTCAGGAACTGATGTGCTGGCCATCCCTGGGGAAAACGGGACCTGTGTTCTCTTCTGGCTCTGCCACTAACTGGGACTCACATTCCTCATCTGTAATGTGAAAGGATGAACTGGAGGATCTCCAAGATCCATGAGAGCCAGAGAGAGCAGCTAGTTGGAGTACAACGACGGACGTGGGCTCCAATCTCACCTCTGCCATGTTTTGTCATAGCAACCACAGGTGCTAACATCTGCTGCACATCCACTGTGTGCTGACCCTGATGGAGGACTTGCAGCACATTATCTCATTTAACCTTCCCAGCAATGCTGTGATGGAGGTACGCTTATACCCATTTTGCAGAGAAAGAAACAAGAGGCTCAGCGAGGATAAGTGACTTGCTCAAGGGCACACAGCTAGTAAATGAGATCCAGGATTTGAATGCCTGGCACATGTAACAGTAAACACTTGGTGACTGAACATTTGGTGCTTGTAGACTCTAAGTCCTATCAAACTCACTCCATAACCTTTCCCATGCCAGGCCTTGCTTCCCCCAAGAGTAGGCTCTGCAATTTGGTCTGCATAAAGTAAGCTGACCCTTGCCTCCCACCACAAGGTGTAGGACTCTGGCCTAAGGACCCTAGATCTTACCAGCAGATTTTCATCAGTGCCCAGGAGACGGGGTCCTACACACGTGGAAGGGGTCAGAAATCCACTGGGTCCCTCCAGAAGCTACCCGGGTACTGTCAAGCAGGCCGAGGCAGGCTCTTATCACCAGGCACACAAAAGGTACCCTACCAAGACCCAAAGAACCCGGCGATCGGCTGCAGGCCTGCCCAGGTACTGCCTTCCAGAGGAGCTCAGGAGGGCCGGGTCCCCTCCACGCACCTCGCTGGCTCCCTGCCAATCGCGCCTCACTGTCGCTCAAGCAAAGGGGCGTGAGGACCCGCTGCCAGCGCCAGCTGCGAGCTAAGGGCTTCAACCGCCGCACCTGGGGGCACCGCCCCGGCCCCGCGGCGTCGGGACCCGAAGGGTCCATCGCCCCTCACCCCCGCCCCATCGCGAGCCTCCTTCAGTGCGCATCACGCTCACTACTCGGTTCTGCAAACTTCTCTGGGCTTCCCTTCACCCCAGGGCCCGACGCTCCAGTCGATCCCTCAGGGGAAGTCCGGGGCCGACCCCTCAAGCCCCAGCCCAGCCGGATCGCGAAGCCCTCGCCAGCCCCCGGAGCGCGCGTCTCACCTGCAGCCCGCAGGCGGGGCTCCGAGGGGCTGAGGCGTCCCGGTGGGCCCCCCGCGGAGCCGGCTTTGGCTGAATCGGCCGCCGCTGCCACCTCCTGACCCCGCCCCGAGCCCGGGAGGACCAGGCATGGAGGGCAGGTCCCGCAGCACCGACCCGACCGCCGCCGCCGGGCTCGCGGGTGCCGGACCTGCGCCTCTCTGGCCGGCGAGCCCGGCGCGGCAGCTAGTGCACGTGCGCAGGCTCGCCAGCTCAGCTGCTCTGACCTTCGGCCAGAACCACTCCTTGGTTAGCGGAATTCTGGGAATTGTAGTTGAGCCGCCCAAGCTCTCAATCCGCGGAACCCTGGAAGTTGTAGTTTCTTCCCACAGAGGCGCAGGTTTACTTGGTGTTAGATTTGTGCAATTATGGAAGTCCTGGTAATAAATGTAAATGCGAGTTAAACCAACAGTAAGATGTCATTTGTAAAATCAAGGTAATCATAACGTTCGCATATTTAAAAACGTATCTGTTACTACAAATACAAGTAAATACAAATGCTCTATTCCTTTGGGGCGACGCCCCAATTCTTCACGCCCATCCCATTCAGACCTTCCTCCAGGGCAAACAGTCCCAACTCTTATGGCTGCTGCACCTGGCTACTGCCCACTCTCGAAATATACATACGCCCTTATTTCTTGATTTATGAACTTTAGACCTCTTGGCTTTTTACTAGGATAGATGAGAAATTAACTCATTTAAATATGTGCACCAACTGTGACTACCTGCACCTTCTCTGCGTTATGAGACATTTTTTCTTTCTCCAAATTTTTATTTAAATTCCAGTTAGTTAACATACAGTGTAATATTAGTCTCAAGAGTAGAATTCAGTGATTCATCTTCTACATACAACACCCAGTGCTCATCACAAGTGTACTTCTTGATACCCATCACCTATTTAACCCATTCCCTCATCTACCTCCCTTCTGGTAATATCAATTTGTTCTTTATAGTTAAGAGTCTGTTTCTTGGTTTGCTTCTCTTTCCCCCCCCCCATTTTCAGTTGTTTTGTTTCTTAAATTCCACATATGAGGGAAATCATATGATATTTGTCTTTCTCTGACTGATTTATTTCACTTAGCATAATACTTTCTAGTTCCATTCACGTCACTGCAAATGGCAAAATTCGTTTTTTGATATGGCTGAGTAATATTCCATTGTGTATATACACCACATCTTCTTTATCCATTCATCGGTCGATGGACATTTGGGCTCTTTCCATAATTTTGCTACTGTTCATAATGCTGCTATAAATAAGCATCAGAGTGCATGTATCCCTTCGAATCAGTATTTTTGTAACCTTGGGTAAATACCTAATAATGCATTTGCTGGATCCTAGGGTACTTCTATTTTTAAATTTTTGAGGAACCTCCACACTATTTTCCAGAGTAGCCGCACCAGTTTGCATTCCCACCAATAGCGTAAAAGGGTTCCCTTTTCTCTGCATCCTCACCAACATCTGTTGTTTCCTGTGTTGTTAATTTTAGCCATTCTGACAGGTGTAAGGTGGTATCTCATTGCAGTTTTGATTTGTATTTCTCTGAGGATACGTGATGTTGGGCATCTTTCCATGTGTCTGTTTTTCATCTGGATGTCTTCTTTGGGAAAATGTCTATTCATGTCTTCTGTCCATTTTTTAACCAGATTATTTGTTTTTTGGATATTGTGTTTTATAATTTCTTTATAGATATTATGGATACTAACCCTTTATCAGATAAGTCATTTGAAAATATCTTCTCCCTTTCCATAGGTTGCCTTTTAGGCTTGTTGATTGTTTCCTTCTCTGTGCAGAAATTGTTGTTTTTTTTTTATCTTGATGAAGGCCCAATAATTTATTATTGCTTTTGTTTCCCTTCCCTGAGGAGACATGTCTAGTAAGAAGTTGCTACATCCAGTATCAAAGAACTTACCATCTGTGCTCTCTTCTAGGATTTTGATGGTTTCCTATCTCACATTTAGGTCTTTCATCCATTTTGAATTTATTTTTGTGTATATTGTAAGAAAGTGGTCCAGTTTTGGGCTCCTGGGTGGCTCAGTCAGTTGAGCGTCAGACTTCGGCTCAGGTCATGATCTTGCAGTTCGTGAGTTTGAGCCCCTCCTTGGGCTCTGTGCTGATAGCTGACAGCTCAGAGCCTGGAGCCTGCTTCAGATGTGTCTGCCTCTCTCTCCCTCTCCAACTTGTTATCTGTGTCTCTCAAAAAAAGTTAATAATTTTTTTAAAAAGAAAGCAGTCCAATTTCATTCTTTTACATGTTGCTGTCTAGTTTTCCCAACACCATTTGTTGAAGAGACTGTCTTTTTACCACTGGATATCTTTTCCTGCTTTGTCAAAAATTACTTTTTTTAAGTTTACATATTTATTTTGAGAGAGAAAGCATGTGAATGGGAGGGGCAGAAAGAGAAGGAAAGAGAGAGAATCCCAAGCAGGCTCTGCACTGGCGGCTCAGTGCCCTATGCGGGGCTTGAACTGATGAACAATGAGATCTTGACCTGAGCCAAAACCAAGAGACATACACTTAACTGATTGAGCCACCGAGGTGCCCAAAAGATTAATTGACCATATAGTTGTGGGCTCATTTCTGGGTTTTCTATTCTGTTCCATGGATCTATATATTTTTATGTTTTTATGTCAGTATCATACTGTCTTGATCACTACAGCTTTGCAAAATAACTTGAAGTCTGGAATTGTGATACTTCATCCCTGCTTTTCTTTTTCAAGATTGCTCTGGCTATTTGGGGTCTTTCATGGTTCCATACAAATTTTAGAGTTCTAGCTCTGTGAAAAATGCTGGTGATATTTTGATAGGGATTACATTAACTGTGTAGATTGCTTTGGGTAGTATCGACATTTTAACAATATTTGTTTTTCCAATCCATGAGCATGACATGCTTTTCCATTTTTTTGTGTCATCATCATTTTCTTTCATCAGTGTTTTCTAGTTTATGAGACAGCATTTCTATCAAACTGGTTAAACTTAGTCTTTCATTTATAATTATTTTAAGTGATAATGCTCAAGTGCTGAAGCAGTAAAAGTTAGCAAATTTATGCAGGGCAATTTGACAATACAGTCAAAAGCCTTTAAAAACATAAAGACTTTCAACCAAGAAATTCTCATGATTGTGGATGAGTACAAAGGTTAAAAACAGTGTTGTTTGTAATAACAATAAAAGGCTTGGGTGGCTATATTAAAGTAGCATCAAGAACAAGGAAAATTACTAGGAGTAAAAAGGGATATTATGTAATGACAAAAAAGTCAACTCACCAACAAGACACTATAATCCTAAATGTGAATGTATCTACCAACGGATCCTTAGAGTAAGTGAATCAAATACTAATGGAACTAAAAGCAGAAACAGACAAATCTGCAATGATAGGCAGAGACCTCAGTATCCCTTTCTCAACAATTGACAGAACTAGACAGAAAGTCACAAGGATATAGAAAAAAGCTCAACCTCACCAAAACCAACAGGAACTAATTGACATTTACATAGCACTCCACTGAACAACAACAAAACACACATACTTTTTAAGCATGCATGATATATATGTTAAAATAAACGGTATTCTGGGCCATAAATTTAAAAATTAGCAAAATACATAAACAGATGTTTTACTGAAAAGTGTATACATATAGCAAATAAACACATGGAAAGATGTTAAACATCACTAGCCACTAGGGAAGTGCAACTTAATGAGATAGCGCTACACCCCTAAAAGTAATGGCAATACCATGGTGAGCATACAAAGAACTACATCTCAGACATTGCTGGTGGAAATGGTTTGGTAGTTTCTTAAAAACTAAACATGCACTTGCCATATGACTCAACAATTGCCTTCAACATCTATCCCAGAGAAATGAAAACTCACGTCCGCACAAAACCTTGTATCAATTGTTCACAGACGTTTTGTTTGTAATACCACAAAACTCGCAAAACTTGAAAGAAGCAAAATGCCCCTCCATAGATACATGGTTAAACAAGATGAATGAATGAACAGTGTATCTATACCATAGAATACTATTCAGTAATAAAAAGGAATGATACATTCAACAACTTGTGTGGGTATCAAAGGCATTGTGAGAAATGAAAAAATTCAGTCACATTACATGCTATAATTCCATTTATATAACATTCTTGAAATGACAAAACTATGGAGATGGAGAACAGATTAGCACCTATCAGGCATTAGGGATGGGGTAGAGAGGGAAGTGGTCTATGACTATACAAGGGCAGCAAGAGGGAGATCTTGGAGGGGATGGGATAGTTGTGTATCTTGTTTGTGGTTGTGGCTATGTGTTAAAATGACATAGAACTAGGTACAACTTTATACCAATGTCAAATACCTGGTTTTGCTATTGTACTATAATCATACAAGACATACCATCAGGGGAAACTGGATGAAGAGATTCCATGGAAAGAAACTCCCTGTACTATCTTTGCAACTTCTTGTGAATCTACAATTATTTCAAAATAAAAATGTTTAAAAGAAGAAACAAACAGAAACATGGAAATTGCTTAAGCCCTCAGCCATACAGGATGGCTTAAATAAATTCATGAACCATCTAAAAGTCACTACAAGGATGTTGTAAAATAATATTTACTTAATGCTGTGAAAGATATTTCACACTATATTATATTTAATGAAAAAGTACCAAAGCATTCAATATAATCTCTTTATAAAAAAGAGTGTATTTGTGCATAGAAAAGATATCAGCACAGATAATGGTAAGATTATGGGTGATTTTTATTTTCACAATAAGTATAGTCAGCATCCGTAACCATACAATGTTGTTACAATATTATTGACTATATTCCCTATGCTATACATTTCATCCCCATGACTTACTTTATAACTGGAAGTTTGTACCTCTTAATCCCCTTTATTTTGCCCATTACCTCCCCACCCCAACTCTGTCTCTGGCCACCAACAGAGGGGTGGTGGCTGTATTTAAGAGTCTGTTGTTAAACAATCCTAACATTTGTATGGAACCACAAAAGACCCCAAATAGCCAAAGTAATGTTGAAACAGAAAACCAAAGCTGGAGGCATCACAATCCCAGACTTCAAGCTGTATTACAAAGCTGTAAGCATCAAGACAGTATGGTATTGGCACAAAAACAGACATACAGATCATTGGAATAGAATAGAGAACCCAGAAATGGACCCACAATTATATGGCCAACTAATCTTCAACAAAGCAAGAAAGAGTATC